TTGGTTCTAAACTTTCCTTAGAACAATAAGTGATAACTTACCTGTATCTCTAAGGTAACAAAGGCACATCTAAAACTCTGCTCCAAGAGATAGATTTCATCTTTATTTACAGAATGCAGAAATGTCACACACTTTTAAAAATAGCTTTAAGGGGGATAGGAGAGGAGAGGCACCCTGCATTCAATACTAGCATTTTGAGAACTTCCTGACCCTATGAACTAGCAGACTTAAGAATAAGCTGAATGTTTAAGTTCTAAGGATGCAGCAGTTAACAAGACAGATCTAGCTTTCAGTCTAATGACACATCTCGACAAAAAGTCAAACTGCTTTAGGAACCATGGTAAATATCATGATAGGGCAGTCCACAGGGTGGTGGGGTCTCAGGGGAGCTGTACTATGTCTTATAAAGTGCCAAATACATTTGAAGGTTGTGGGTTGGAAGTTAAATTGCAATTAAACCTCTTGAGTTTGACACTTGGCAATCCATAAATTCCTGTATAAAAATAAACAACCATACCACCACTAAAACCACATACGCTACCTCTTAAAACATCCCATGACATCTTGGACGCTAAATGATTCTGTGAGGCAATCTTTCCCAGTAGTTGAGGGAACATTAGACAATACCTATTTTAAATGTCTTTTGGAAGACATATTGTCAAAAATAAAGAAATGGAGATACCTGAAAATGAAGAATGGCTAGGCCTTTAAATGGTAAAATAGTTGAAACTCCACTTATTATATTGTGTAAAGTTAACAGATAATTGTGCATTTTCTGGAAGCAAAACTTTTAAGTTACTTTTATTAGCGTTGTTCAATTGTACTTTTTAATGTCAAAATTGTTAAGTAGCAATTGTAGTATAAAGTAGTAGATAGGACCATGAGCTTGCAGAAGCAGAAAATCTACCTAAATTTCAACTCTGCCACTCTCTTGGGTAGACTGTCAGTCTTTTTGTGCCTCAGGTTGCATAATATTAAAATAGGGATTATTGTGATAATGAAATAAGTGTAAATAAGTTATTTTTCACACTGTAAGTATTCAATAAATATTAGTTTATATTATTGGAAAACAAAAAATTGAGGAAAATTTTAAGAAAGAAGTACAGATTGTTCTTCATCCCACAATCAAAAGCCAAGCAAAAATAAAGTTGTGGGTTCATACACATTTTTTTTCAGGTGTATATGTGTGTGTTAATTCTAAAAATATGGATTTATTCAGTATCTAATACATAGATTTTGTTTTGTTTTGTTCTGTTTTTTAAAGAGAGAGGATCTCACTATGTTGCCCAGGCTGGTCTCAAACTCCTGGGCTCATGTGTTCCTCCCACCTTGCCAAGTGCTGGGATTATAGGTGTAAACCACCATGCCCAGCCCTAATACATAGTTTTGAAATGCTTCTTACCTGGGCTATACATTAGACATGTTTTCATGTCAATCAATATGGATGTAAATCATCATTTTAACAGCTACATTTTGTTCCATTGTATGACAATGCTATTATTTTACGAAGTGTCTATATTTTTTGAGTTTAACTTTTACTTTATACCATATTTGTTTACTATTTCTTTTAAGAGTATGCACAAAGAGGATCACTGTATACATGCTTTTTTTTTTTTTTAAGCATTTATCATATCATTTATAGGAATGTAACTGTTCGGTAGCCAATAAACTCCTTTACGTACTTGATAACTACCATCAAATTGCCCTCTGGAATTTATACCTCCCATATACTATATAAGAATGTCTCCAAAACATCCCATTTGAGGCTATGTGTGTGTTTGAGCACAGGGGCTCTGCAAGCCCTTCTGTCCTAGAGGTTCAGAGCATCACTCCTTTCTGTGTGTCTTGGTCCAGCTAAAAAGACATTGCCTGAATTGGTTACTATTTAGGTAAGTCAGAGTTTCTACAGGATATGTAATTCTATACCAGTTTCTTTCTTACACTTTCTTGGCTGCAGTCTCTTCACTTGTAAAATGAGAGTAAAATAGATAGTGTTATTGAGAAGATTAAAAAGGGGTAATGTAAAATATATAGTACCTGATTCATCGTAAGCACTTAGCAAACATGTGTTACATTGCCCCATTCTTTTGCAAATTGCAAGTTTTTATGCCACAGTGCTTTGTAAAAAGTGTCAAAAAATGTTTATCCTTATATTTTTAATCATTTTACTCTTGAAAAGGATATCAGGGATAACACATCAAAGAAGACATCTATGAGGTTAGCTAGCCTTAAGGAGTGGAAGAAGAAGAAGAAAAAGGAGGAGAAAAAGAAGAGGGGAGAAGAAAAAGTGGGGGAGGATGAGAAATACAAGGAAGGGTGGGGGAGGGACCAAGTTCTGTCACTTACTAGCTGAGTGAATTGGGGTTTTGAGTTAACCTCCTTGATTTTCAGTTTCCTGTTCAATCATGAGAAGCTAATGACTTCTGTCTCAATGTGCTCTTATGGGGATTTATTGTGAGAGTATAGATAAAGTATTAAGAATTATTTTAGACAAACACCAGATGTACAATAAAAGGTAACTCTTATCTGTATTGCCATCATTATCTCTACCAATGACATTTTTAATCCATCATTATGTCCGTTATATGACATTATACATTATGTCTGGTGATTAACTCACTAAGAAATCTTCATGGATTAGCACAGTAGATCTATGCCCTGCGCCCGTGACCCACATCAATATGTTTTTATTCAGGCATTCATACTAGAGCCACACACTGAATTTACACCTCAGCCAAACTCGGGGCTTTGCTTATGGACAGTGACTAATTAATACACATTAATCATACTAATTAATTAATTCATACAGTATTAATTATCAGTGTCACAGGAGTATGGTTAAACTCAACATAGAAGGCTTCTTTCTGTCTTTTGCATTCTACAGACAATTTGCTCATAATTCATTGCTAACAACCATTACATTAAATCCATACCTATATATCTACTTCTATATCTATATCTATCATCTATCTAACTGTATTAGTCCATTTTCATGCTGCTGATAAAGACATACCCGATACTGGGAAGAAAAAGAGGTTTAATTGGAGTTATAGTTCCACATGGCTAAGGAGGCCTTAGAATTACGGCAGGTGGCGAAAGGCACTTCTTACATGGTGGTGACAAGAGAAAATGAAGAGGATGCAAAAGCAGAAACACCTGATAAAACCATCAGATCTTGTGAGACTTACACACTACTATGAGAACTGCCCTCATGATTCAAATTATCTCCCATTGGGCCCCTCCCACAACACATGGGATTTATGAGTGTCCAATTTGAGATGGGATTTTGGAGGGGACACAGAGCCAAACCATGTCACTAACTATACATGAAAACATATCTCTCTCTCTTCCTCTCTGTCTCTCTCTCTCTCTCTCTCTCTGTGTGTATATATATATATATACACATATATAAAAACACATATACACATATATATATGTCTGTTCTTTTGTTTTCATTTTTTGTTTGCTGATTTGTTTTTGTATTTTGTTTGCCTCAAAAGGAAAAAAAGGATATAAGACCAAATCTTGAAACCAGAATAGGCAGTGGCAGATCTACACCATTTACTCTAAGAGTTGATGATAAAGGAAATCTTCAGGGCAAGTGCTTTCTGACAGCTGTACCATGCTGGAGCTTACAGAGATTAGGATGCAGAAGAATGCTTTTGGCATTGCCTCTGACTACAAATTAATCAGAATGTATAGACCAGAAGAGAACCCTTGTTGGAAAGTATGCCAGAGAGATAACACACATAGGTGTGCCTCAGGGACACAGCACTTCTAGGACATGGTCTTCCATAGCTCCAAGTAGTATACATACCCTACAAAGAAGCCCGGTTGAATGCTCCGAGGAAACTCTTTCATATATTCTTATAGAAAAAGCCTTTCTAGTAAATGATAAGTGGTAAATTAACCCCCTCCAAATGTGTCAACACATTCTTAAGTAATCTTCATAGGTGCAAGCCTCTCTAGGATAGTTTATGCATGTCTCTGATGAGTTAGATGATTCTAAACAGATTGAGATTTTTGTGGGTTCAGCAGCCAAATGTTATATTGTGGGGGAGGTAAGGTTCTTTTTGTCTGCTTTGCTTTTATTTTTTTCCTCTATTCTCAACCTGTCAAGTCTTCTATTGACATTTTAACTGTTTCTGGCAACTCCTCTTCCTTTTCCAAGTCACTTATATTCAATCTGCTGGGAGACAAAAAAAAAAAAAAAGCAAATAACCAAGCTTGCTAAATAAAGTGTGTTTAATAAGATGTCATGAAACCCAGCAAGAGAGCCAGGGAGTTTGTGCCTTCATTAATTAAATCGAATCTACAAATATTCACTGGGCTTCCTTTGTGCAAGGCCTTGTTGATGATCCATTAGCTATGCTTGCTCTAGGCAATAAAATACTGGTGTTTGGGGTCTGTAACATTTGAAAAGTATACTTCTCTTTTCATGAGGCTTTTTAAATGTCTGAGTTATGGCTAAATTATGAATGGTCAATACTTTTAACTTTGGATCTCTAAAGATTTGGTTAATTACAGAACCACTCTGCCTATGTATATGTGAATTCTCTATGAATCCCAAAGTCTCAACACATGTAATCTCTTGTTTTTTCCACATTTGAGCTAAGGAAGGTTGGAATGTTTAGCCACATCTTAGAAGACAGTGAAAGGGACTTATAAACTGGAATCATTTCAAATCCTTTAAAATAATAGACTAGAATCGACTAATTCATTAGGTCAAAGCCCATGCCCTAAGCCTTTGTCCAAGCATCAAATAACTAGTTTTTAGATCTCGCTTATTGCCATACCAAAGATCCCATATTGGAAAGGACACTGACCCAGGAATCAGCAGTTCTGGACTGTAAAATGAAATCTGTAAGAAACTCATAGGCAAGTACCTCTGAATCCCAGGTTTGTCTCTTTTCATCTGTGAGATGAAGATGAACATATCTACCGCATAGGATGAAATGATGATATCCCTTAAAACACCATTATTAAATGAAGTATATTACCAATTCCCTCTGCAGTCTTGGGCCTGACAAGAGATACAGCAAAATCCTTTCCTCCATTGTAACAGACTCCTGCTTGCCACTTTACAGACCTCTCTCTGTGCAGGGCATCAGTAAAAGCCCAAAGATAATAAGAGACACAAAGAAGGTATCCGTATAGGCCATCTCCCTGGATGCACCATTCACCTCATTCCTTTCACACTAGCTTGGGCAGGAAAAGCAATTCTGGGAAAGAGTTGTTCAGAGCCTCCCTGGGAACCTTGGTGTGTTTCTCTCTTGCTGGCCGCTGCCTGGCCTAAGGTCACGCACAGGGAAGAACACCAACTCCATCCAGACTCCTTGCAAGAATTTCAGTGATGCATGCTAAAGACTAACAGATGTGCACTTTCTCCTCTTGAAGTCTGAGGCCAGACACCAGCTCCCCTGGAAGTGAGGCCTCTCTCAGGGGCTCAGACAGCAAGCACCCTAGAGTCCCCTCAGCAGGGTAGGATCATATGCCATGGCTTTTG